AAAGAGGGATTCCACTTGCTGTTTCTGAAAAGGACACCACATGAACACTCGTCCAGTCTTTTGCATTGTTCCTAGTACTGACTAATGACTTAAAAGCTAATCAGCAGGCCAAAGACCTGTGCAGCCAGCGTTTTGAGGGCTCTTCCCTACCAGTTACCCAGGGCTGCTGGTCTTAAAATGTTTTCTCACCAGTCGGTGCTGTTCAACACCCTCTTTACTTATGAAAACTGGAAAGTGGCTCATCAGCCTGATGTAATAGGAGGACATTGTCATACGCCTTCCCGACAAAGAAAAAAATCTCCATCAGACACCCCTGCCTCTTCTACCTCCTTGTCAAAAATGTTGCCATCTCCCTCTAATAATGGGCTTACATACCATTGTTAGAATTTGGTTGGGTTTTTTTTGTAAACATAACCCTCCTTATTCTCCTTAGGCCTGCCAGCCAGGACTTGTGCCCTGATGTCTCTAGTTTCCCATCTCAGTTTCATCACTTTATTGGCCACAGGCATTTGGCCAAAGTTTTTTCTTATTTTGATTGTGAATTCATGGCTTTTAGCCAGCTGGTAAACACTTCCTAAACAACCGAGAATGTTTATTCACATTTTTCTGTGTTAGAGTTTTCATCCTAATCAGTTTCACTCATCACTTCCCTCAGCATTGGGAAATTAGCCCCTTGGAAGCATCAGATAGGCAGCCCCAGAGTGAGTGTCATCAGGTCAGGAGAGCTGGTCCCCAGGGAACACCCAGCTTCCAGTCTTGTCTGTTGCACCCAGAGCAGCGTTGCCTCCGGCTGGCTGCAGTCCCTTGTGTGGAAATGTTTCACGGCTGCCTGCCTGAGGCCTCTGGCGTGTCTTCTCCCCTGACGTGCCCGTCACTACGGGGTTTCTTCCCTCCTGGTGCACCTGGTCGTTAGCAGATGCTGGGTGTTGGTAACAGCACATGGCCCGTGTGCACGGACACCGGGGCTCTCCGGGACGCTAGAGCGGGCGATGGTCTCTTTAACGGAGTCCCTGTCCCACGGCTGCGGGGAGTGAGGCTGTCTGCAGCTGCCCATGCTAGGACTGAGGGTTAGCGCTGTGGGGCGGTGGCTCTGGAGGCGCCTGGTGACTCAGTGCACAGGACACACTCGGTGCTTGGCACGGGGCTGCAAAGGGCCGTGGGGGGACGCTGGGAGAGGAGCTCCACGGGGCTGCCTGGTGCAATCCCACAGGGCCTCGATCTCTGACCCCGGTGTCTGCCCTGCAGGTTGGGATTGAAATGGAGCATTTCCCCGAGTTCGAGAACGATGTGGAGTTCACTGAACAGCTGATCTCAGAAGAGTCTGTCCTCTGCCTGCCTGCCACAGTCAGTGTCCCCCAGCGCCGCCACACGGAGGGTGGGGGGAGCGCTGGGCCTGGGGTGCCTGGAGTGGTTGGGAGCGCTGGGACTGGGGTGCCTGGAGGGGCTGGGAGCTCTGGGACTGGGAT